CCTCTACCTTCTTCAGTCCCAAAGGAAAAGATAAACAAAATGTAAGCATATATTTCATGTCCCTAAGTCTGCAAAAGACAGGTTGCTACCAGCTGTTCATTGTCCAGACATGGAGTGGCCCTACCTCTAACCTGTAAGTTAGGATTTTCTTTTAGTCCTCTGAAAGGGTCACATAAAAACAAATAAATGTGCCAGGGCATGGTGGCTCATATGTGTAATCCCGAAACATTGGGAGGCTGAGGTGGGCTGATCATCTAAGGGTGGGAGTTCAAGACCAATCTGACCAAAATGGAGAAATCCTGTCTCTACGAAAATTACAATATTAGCCAGGCATGGTGGCGCTTGCCTGTAAGCCTAGTGACTTGGGAGGCTGAGGCAGAATTGCTTGAACCCAGAAGGGAGAGGCTGTGGTGAGCTGAGATCCTGCCATTGCATGCTAGCCTGGGCAACAAGAGTGAAATTTCATCTCAAAAACTAACAAACAAAACCTAACAAATGGTAGAGAGTCTCTCCCCAGAAATATTTCCACACACAAGGACATATAAATGTCAATATAAGACATCAGTGTGCACCCAGATCCTCTGAGATCTTACAAACCTGGGTTTTAAAATCCTAGTAAGAGACAATGCTGAGGGAAGATATGTGAATAATCATTTCGCCATCACACAGTGCCACTCCAATAATCTAGAGTATGAACTGGGATAGACAAACACTTGAGGTAATAACTTACTTTCAAGGGAATGGGTGGAAAGATGTTATTTATTTATCACTGGTTCATTCAGACACTTCGAGTGCCTCCCAGGTACTAGATAAATTTCTTGTCTTGCATCACTGCTCCAATAATTAAAATTTGTCATTCTTTCCCACCCCTCACACTCAGCACTTGAGCCCTCTTATTGCATAAGAATTCCACATCGTCAATGAAAGGAGTCAAATTCTGTAAAATATTTGAAGAGATTTATTCTGAGCCAAATATGAGTGACCACAGCCCATGATACAACCCTGAACATGTGTTCAGGTGGTTGGGGTGCAGGTTTGTTTTATACATTTTAGGAAGATATGAGACATCAATCAAATACATTTAAGGTGTATATTCGTTAAGTTCAGAAAGGCAGAACAATTTGAAGCAAGTGGGAGTGGGGAGTAGGGCTTCTAGGATATAATTAGATTTTTAAATGTTCTGGTTGGCAAATGATTCATTTATTATCAATAGAAAGTAATGTCTTTATGCGTTATAATAAGAGGTTGTGGAGTCCAAAATTTTATCATGCAGATGAAGCCTCCAGGCAGCAAGCTTCAGAGAGAACAGATTGGAAATGTTTCTGATCAGACTTAAGGTCTGTGCTGATGGTAAATGCTGGTCAGCTTTTCCTGAATTCCAAAAGGGAAGAGGGCATAATGAGGCATGTTCAACACCTGCTTCCGATGGTGGCCTGAGCTGGTCTTCCAGGTAAACTTTTAAGTGCCCTGGCTGAGGAGGGTGTCCATTAAGATGGTTGGGAGGGGTGGCTTTGAAGTTCAGTTTTGGTTTACAACATGTAAAGTGTTGAGAGGAGACAGAAACAACCTCCCTCCCTAGAAGAGGCAACATTCCAGTCACCCCTGCAATTGATCATGGACATGAGTCTTAGGCTCCACCAGTCAGATGGGCACCTGTTGAAGCTGTGTCATTTTCTTGGGTCAATAACAGGGATTTTGCCATCTTACACCAAGAACATTAAGGACACTGACACACAAGGAGTGGGCTTAGAAGCAGAGGTTTAATAGGCAAAAGAAAGACAAAGGGAAACAGCTCTCTGGTGTAAGAGAGAGGGACGCCTGAAAGGGAATTCCGGCCTGGAATGGGAGGGCCCTAGATTTTATAGGCAGGATTGAGGAGATGGTGTCTGATTTATGTAGGGCCCACAAGTTGGTTGGACCAGGTGTGACATTTACATAGTGCATGGGAAAAGCTGTTCCCCCACCCTAATCCTATTATGCTAATGGGCTTTCCACTAGAGGGGTGCCATGTTGCCTTTTCCTTACTGTACATGTGGCTGGTGAAGAGAAGGGAAGATGGAGCCACCATTGTGAACATGCCTAATCCCAAGTGTCCTTTTCCTATTGGCACGGCTGCCGCATTCACCTGTGAGAACTTCCAGCTGGCTTGTCTATGTCTGAAGCTTGATTTTACAGGCTGCTCTTTGTTAGAAAAGAAAATGATTTGGGGCTGCTTTTCATTAAAAGGAAAAGCTTACTGATTCTTCCATACCCTCTCTATCTGCCTAAATAATTTCAACTTAATTCCTATATCATTGGCAGACTCTGAGCCAGAATGAGGTGACACAGAGAAGCTGGGACTGTGCATGCATTTTAGAGAGAATGGCTGAGTGGCAGTGGTGATGTACAGTTTCCAGGTGCAGCTGTGACATCTGTCCTAGCCTCAGGGTCCAGTGTCCACCACCAGGGTGTCAGAGGTGTGAGCAGTGGCGTCTGTGCTCAGCAGCAGGGGCAGTTGTTCCTAGGAGGGACCTGATCCAGGGTGGGCTGTGGATTCTGCTCCTGGATGCATAGTTTCCAGCCTTGTTCTGTGACCTTCCCCACAATAAAATTAACCCCAATAACAGATATATGACCTTATGTGTAAATTACAGAAATTTGGTTTCCATAGTTTGCTCCAAGAAGTGAGTGAGAAATCACTGTGTGGAGCAGTGTCAGAGAGCAGCATTCAGAGGTGTTCTTTGTGTGAGAGCCACATCCTGAATTGTCTACCTGGCCTCTACCCCATGGTAAACAGATCAACAGGGAATATCACACCTCATAATTGATGATATACATCCTCCCTTTTATTTCTGAGGGAAAAAAACCGCTTTTAACCAAGGTTTGAGAACCCACCTGACCCACCCACCCTGGGCACCCTCTGACCACTGATGTCAGTGGTTCCCAATCTGTCTGAGCAACAGGATTGCTGGTGGGGGATTAGAAAATACTCAGGCCACTCCCCAGAACCTCTCTCACAGTGTTATGCACAAGACCGAGGAATGGTTTATATAACAAGCCCTACAGGCTAGGCTGATGCACAGACATGTGGGATCCTGGTGTTCTTTCTATTCCAAGTGTCATCTGGAGACCAGCAGCCGGAGCTCCAGCCTTGTCATAATCTAGAGTCTCTTGCTTGACTCCAGACTTCCTGGATCTCAGCACCACGTCCAGGTGATTCCTGTGCACAGGGGAAGTCCTTGTCTAAGTGTCCTCTAGATGTGGGGGCAGAACTGTGCAGTCTGCTCTGGGTGTGGGCTGATCAGACCCCTTAGAACTTGAGGTTCAAGGTTCAGTCCCTGCGCTCATTCTTTTCCATAATCACTCCCTTGGTGCCCTCATCCATGCTTGAGGTTTTAAGTATTGTTTATGTGGTATGACCCCCTAAATCTACTTCTCCAGCCCAGTCCTTTCCCCTAAACTCTGGAGTTGTCTGTCCAACTGCCACCGCAGCTCCCTCACCTGCATTCCTAGTAGACATCTCCTCCACTGAGTGCCTGGGAGGCCGCCTCCTCAGTATGCTCCTGCCAGAGTCCCCCCATCTTCGCTGATAGCAGCTCCGCCCTTCTACTTACTCATTTACAACTGTGGGTGTCCTTGATTCTTCTTTCTCACACCACAGATACAATCCATTGGCAAATGCTGTGAGTCCATCTTCAAATGCATCCAGAATGCCCTCACATCCCACTATGTCCCCTGCTCACACCCCAGTCAAGGTAATGACATCTCCAGCCTGGAATACTGCACTCACTTCTTACTGTTTTGCCTTCTGCTTCCCTTGTCCCTCACCTCTCAATTCCATCCTCGGCATAGTAGTCAGAGATCCTTTTAAAAGAGATGTCATATCATGTCCTTCTGCTCAAAACTGTCCTCTAACTCCCATCCCACTCAGAGCAAAGGTCAGGCTGACCTGCTGTGGCCGTACCTCTGACCTCATCTAGCTTCTTTCTGTCCAGCCCTCCTGGCCTCCTTGCTCTTCTGGGAACACAGACACCTTCCTGCCCTAGTGAGTTTGCCCTGTAGCTTCCCCTGCCTGGAAAGAACTTCCCCAGACATCCTCATGGACACTCACATGTCCCTGAACTCTTTCCTCAAAGGTCACCTTTGCAATGTGGTGCACACTGACCACCCAGCACAACAGCCACCTTCCCTGTCCCCACTCTTCACACCCTGGATCACCTGCCTCACAGCACTTACCACCTTCTAGCACTTTCCTTCGTTACTCGGGTTATAGTGTATCTATCATCCGCCTCTTCCCACTGGAACATATGCTCCAAAAGACCAGAGCTTTTTCTGATTTTACTTCAGTGATGTTCCCCAGATGCAGACCCATTCAAATGCAGGTGAATGAATGATCACTGTAGAGCACCTCCCTATTCTAGACAGGATGTTTAGACAGACTCAGGCCAAGTGCTGTTTTGTGGCAGCTACAGCACAAGGTCCCCTCACACTGACAACCAGGCTGCCTGTGCTTTTCTCATCAGTGCTGTTTGTGTGTCCTCCCTCCCCGACCCTCTTCCCACACCAACACCCCTGCACACTGCACAGCACAACCAGGTTAACAAAAAAAATATGAATGTAAATTAGATTCTGCTTTAGATTCATGCGTTGGGATTGGAGCCAGCACGAAGATCACTAGAACCAGGGCAGGGAGAGAGGGCAGGAGAGCAGAGCAGAAGAGGAGCCCTAGAAGGAGGCCAGGAGCTGAATGCGTCTCAAAGTTTGTCTCAGAAAAACAGAGACTCCCATGTGCAGGGGCTGTCCTGGGTGATGTGTAACTCTCTTTGGTCACAGATTTTGCTGGACAAGTATACACTGAAGGGACAAGGACAGTGGAGCAGTGAAGCTGACCCAGCTGAGGACTGACCACATAAAGCCCATGATGGACTCAGCAGCAACTGGGCACAGGCTCGTCCACACTCGGCTCCTCACAACCTTCTCCATCCCCACCTGCAACAGACTCAGCACAGCAAACATGAGGATTCTGGAAGTTTCTCAGGTCTTTATTTCCTCTCTCAAATTTCAGGAATTGACTTATTTAATTAACTCATCAACCTCTCATGGCAAATATTTGAGGAAGCACATTTATATTCAGATTCTTATTTTTAGTAAGGAAGCAAGAGGTTGTAGCTCAGTGCACCATGAAGTTGAGACAGAGATGGAGACAGCCAGCCCCACCTCTCTGGAACAGGAAAGATGACTGGGGAGGGAACACAGGTCAGCATGGGGACAGGGTTCACGGTGGACACAGGGTGGGCTGTCTCTCCACCTCCTCACATTATGCTAACAGGGATGCAGACACATTCAGATGCCTTTGCAGAAAGACAGGCCAGAGGCTCTTGAAGTCACAAACGGGAGGTGTGAAGAAATCCTGCATCTCAGTCCCACACAAGGCAGCAGCCTCAGGCTACAGAAAACAACAGTCATGAACAAATTCAGGTCACTCATGGTAAGTGATGACACTCTAAACAGCCCACCACCCACTCAAAACATCCCAATCAAAGAATCCACATTACCCTGTCCTGTCCCCTCTGCCTCTAACCATGTCCTCTGCTCCTAACCCTGCCCACTTCAGACCCCCAGCGTCTCACCTTTGCAAGCCACAAGAGATAGATTAGGGCCCTGGACACTGTCGCTGCCTGGGTTAGGACAAAAGCAGGACCTGGTCAGATCCCGCAGGAGATGTGGGACAGGAGGAATGATGGGGTGGGTGAGCTCCTCCACACTCCTGCCCCCACCACTTACACGCAGCCTGAAAGTACCTCCTTCTTTTTCCACCTGTGGGAAGAAAACTTCCTGTGAGGGGACAGGGAGGAGGCAGGGCCATGAGATCTTAGCAGAAACTGCAAGTCTTGGACCCAAGAGAAGTTTCTAGAACTATGACTACGGACCCAAGGCAAGATCAGAAAACACAAGGAAAGCAGGTGTGGGTCCTGGACCATCTGCCCTCCTAAGGTCTGTCCTTAGCAGGGACCCTTCTCTGACTTGTGCATGCTGGAATCAGGACCCCAATGCCACAATCATCAAGGTGATACATCTGTCCTTCATTGTCACATGTGCTTCACAAAAGAATAAGTGCTGGCACACAGGGCCCCAGGCTGGGTCGGCCCATGTGTGGATGGTCCTTCCCAGTAATGAGGCAGGGGAACACTTCTACCTGGGGCTTGAAACCCCAAAAGGTACAAGAAAACCCAAACTTCACTCCTCACCCCTTCCCTACTTGAGCTCAACCTCCTCCACATCACAGCTCCGGCGACCACAGCTCCCAGGATGGCCAGGCAAGCAACGATGTCCACGGTGAGGATGGTGAGCTGGGAATATGGCTCTGGGAAAGGAGGGGAAGGTGAGGGCCCCTGACCCCAGGCCTCAGCCCTGACCCTGCTGAAGGCTCCAGAAGGGCTCATGCTTTCCCTGAGAAGAGACATGACACCCCCATGCCCCTCCTTACCCATCCCCCTCCTCACCCCATCTCAGGGTGAGGGGCTCCAGCAGCCCCTCGTGATGCACATGGCATGTGTATCTCTGCTCTTTTCAAGAAGGCACCACCACAGCTGCCCATTTTTTGGAAGGTTCCATTCCCTGATGGCCTGGTCTCCACAAGCTTGGTTTCCCTGGTGTGGTCCTCCCCATCCTGCTGCCAGGTCAGTGTGATCTCCGCAGGGTAGAAGCCCAGGGCCCATCACCTCAGGGTGACTTCATGGTCAGAGATGGGGTGGTGGGTCACGTGTGTCTTTGGGGGGTCTGACAGGAAGAGTTAGAAAATTCAGGTACTTTGCATCTCTCATGAGACACCCCAGTGGCACCTATGTGACCATCCTGAGAATGGCCAGGACACCTGGAGTGTCAGAACTCAGATCCCAGCCTGGACACGGACAGCTGGGATAATCTCCTATTCCGTGGAAAGTTCTAGTCTCTGAGGCAGGAACAGCGACTTCTGCTCCTGATCTGAATGGAGGCTGAGGGACTCAGAGAAGCCGGAATCAGACTTTCCAACACATTGAGTGTGAGTGAGGCAGAGGACAAGGCCTGAGAGAAAAAGTCAAGGCGCCCAAAGCTGCTGCAGATGTTAAAGGGGACCCCTGATCAGTATTCCAGGGACTGCCTCCCCTCCATTTCCTCAGAGACATCAACCCTTAATTGTCCTAGAGAGCAGAGGGGGCCCTCAGAGGAAACTCAGGAAAACGGATGCCATTCTCCATTCAAGGGAGGGCGAATTCTAGCGCTGATCCCATTTCCCTCCCCTCCTGGAGGGAGGCCCGTCTGGGAGATCGACAGGAGATGGAGAAGGCTCCCCACTGCCCCTGGTAGCAGCGCGCTGCAGCGTCTCCTTCCCGTTCTCCAGGTGCCTGCGGAGCCACTCCACGCACTCGCCCTTCAGGTAGGCTCTCGATTGCTCCGCCACGTTGGCCGCCTCGAACTTGCCCTGGGTGCTCTGAGCCGCCGTGTCCGCGGCGGTCCAGGAGCGCAGGTCCTCGTTCATGGAGATGTAATCCTTGCCGTCATAGACGAACTGGAGATACCCGCGGAGGAAGCTCCCGTCCGGCCCCACGTCGAAGCCAATCATTCCCGGGAGGTTGTGAGACCCTGGCCCGGTCCCCGAGGTCAGCCCCGCCCACCGAGCCCCGCCCCCACCCGGACCAACCAGCAGGCATTTTGGCCTAAACTTAAGATGAAACCGGGTAAAGGTGCCTGGGGCTCTCCCCGGTGGAGCATCTGGGCGGGTCCCGCAGCCTCTGGGCAGATCTCGACCCGGCCACTCGGGAGGCGGGGTGGGGGGGTGGCCCGGGTTGTCTGGGCGGGATGGGAGGGGTCGTGACCTGCGCTCCGGGCCGGGGTCATCACCTGCCTCGCTCTGGTTGTAGTAGCTGAGCAGGGTCTGCAGGCTCACTCGGAAAGTCTGTGCCTTGGCCATGGCTCTCCGCGTCTCCCGATCCCAATACTCCTACCCCTCCTGCTCCACCCACAGCGCCCGCGGCTCCATCCTCGGACTCGTGGCGTCGCTGTGGAACCCCACGAACTGCGTGTCGTCCACGTAGCCCACGACGATGAAGCGGGGGTCCCCGTGGCCCGTCCGGGACAAGGCAGTGCCGAATTACCTCAAAGAGTGAGAGCCTGCGGACAAGGAGAGGCTGAGACCCGCCCGACCCTCCTCCCGGCGCGGCTCCCGGGGTCCTGCGCCCCAGCAGGCGGGCCCCTCGCTCTTCCCCGCAGAAGTCGTTTCACTCTTGACACCGCACTTACCCGCCCCCGTCTCGGTCAGGGCCAGGGTCCCCCAAGAGCAGCCGGAGAAGGGTTCGAGGCGTCAGGACCCCAGCCTCGGTGTCTGGGGAGAATCTGAGTTCCGGTGGGTACGTGGGGACTTTAGAACCGGGACCTCGAAGGCGCTGATTGTCTTTTCTACATCCAATGGAAGTGGGAACTGGGGTCGCCTGGTGAGTATCCTGGAAGAAGGACCCAACAGAGGTTGGGATAAGTGGTGAAACACAGGAAAGTGGGGGAATCCGCGACGCTGCTCCCCAGTGCAGACGGGCCCTTGGAACCTGACACCCTGAGACCCATGCCCAGGACCTGGGACTTTGTCCTGATCCCTCAGGAACCTCTTTGTCATACTGACTGCCTGAGTCCTGACCAAGGATCTGTCTGTGGAAACCGGGGAGAGGCAGAGAAGCCAGGGCTGCGCCCAGCCCCTTCCCCATCACTTCTTGTCCTGGAATCCCCGTTCCTGAACTGGACTCCCAGCCTCCCACTCCTTACCTCTCCCCTCGAAGTCTTATACAAGGAAATTCACCACGGGGAACTTGATGTCAGAGAGTGAGCTCGCCCTGGGAATGGAGGTGTAGAGACAGGGGTTTTCTCTCTAAACCTGGTCAAGTTTTGTCTGAAGGCAGCAGATAGAGATTCTCATAGAGACCAGTTCCCTTTGTGTTTGTTAATACAGTAGGTAGCACAATATTGTAATCCCTGAATGGTTAGAATTCCAATCTGTAAAAGACCTGGGTCAAAACAGCATCGCAATTAAACTTTCAAAGCTAAGTTTTACTTTCCCAGACTAAGGATCTGTGACTCTGGGTTGTTACATTTAAAATCATCTTCATTCCCTAGCCCAAGATTCCCTATGTGAGCCCAGAACATCTCCTGAACAAAGAAGCAGGGGTCTGTTGGGGGAGGGGGACAAGGGAGGGGCAATGGGGAGGGGGCTGGAGGTCGAGGAGGGATAACATGGGGATCTGTGGAAGTACCCCAGAACCTAAAATTTAAAAAGGGAGGAGGAGGAGAAGGAGGGGGAGGGGGAAGGGGAGGAGGAGGGAGGAGGGAGGAGGAGAGGGCGCGGTGGCTCAAGCCTATAATCCCAGCACTTTGGGAGGCCGAGGCAGGTGAATCACGAGGTCAAGAAATCGAGACCATCCTGGTCAACATGGTGAAACCCCGTTTCTACTAAAAATGCAAAAAATTAGCTGGGCATGGTGGCGCGTGCCTGTAATCCCAGCTACTCAGGAGCCTGAGGCGGGAGAACTGCCTGAACCCAGGAGGCGGAGGTTGCGGTGAGCCGAGATCGCGCCATTGCACTCCAGCCTGGGTAACAAGAGTGAAACTGCGTCTCAAAAAAGAAGAAGAACAAGAAGAAGCAGGGTTTGTTTCTTATATTGCAACCACGAGCCTTTAGTCACCACCTCAAAGTTGGCAGTGCTTTATTCAGTCCCAATGCTCTTCACCAACACTCCAATGCTGCCTGTTTTTGTGAAAGACGCAGTGTGCATACTATTTTTTTTTTTTTTTTTTTTTTTTTGAGACGGAGTTTCGCTCTTGTTACCCAGGCTGTAGTGCAATGGCGCGATCTCGGCTCACCGCAACCTCCGCCTCCTGGGTTCAGGCAATTCTCCCGCCTCAGCCTCCTGAGTAGCTAGGATTACAGGTATGCGCCACCGTGCCCAGCTAATTTTTTGTATTTTTAGTAGAGACGGAGTTTCACCATGTTGACCAAGATGGTCTCGATCTCTTGACCTCGTGATCCACCCGCTTCGGCCTCCCAAAGTGCTGGGATTACAGGAGTGAGCCACCGCGCCCGGCCGCAGTGTGCATACTTTATTTGGACACTTGGTATTTTTGTAACCCTTTTCCTTTTAATCTTAAGGAGGCCATTAGTTCTTAGGCAGTCCTCCTAGGCTCTTCCACTGCTTTAGAATTCTTCCTCTCTCCTTTTCCTCACCTCCTGGTTCTCCAGCCCTTCTCTCTGCCCACCATCTCTCACATCCTCCTCTTCCCTTAGTCCCCACCACCCGGCCACTCCTGAATTGTGGCACTAACACTGTCCCTCACTTCCTGCCCTTGTCTGTTCTCCCCACAGTGCTCAGCCCTCCTGCTAATGTGACTCAGGTCGTTTCAATTCTTCACTTAAAATGGTTGGATTCTGGTCTACCACTTTGCTATTTGTTTTCAATTTGTCTCATATCTCACAGTTTCTGTTCCTCCTTTGCTACTTTCTTATGTGTCAAAGAAACGTTTTTTAGTTTATGGTTTTAATTCTCCTAGTGGCTTTTAGCTATATTTCTTTACACTAATTTTTTATTGTTCTGAGAATTGAAAATTCCTTGATTTTCACAGTGAAGTTGAGGTAATGTTAAACTACATCCAGCAAAATAAAGGACACTTGAAATGGTTTAGTTTCATTTAGCCTATCATCATGCTATTATTGTTGTGTTTATTCCATCAATCTACATTATATACTCAATGATACAGTGTAATAGTTTCTGTTTTAGAAAAGCAGTCATATGCCTTCAGGAAATGAAGAAAATGAGTGTGTATGTGATATGTGTGTGTGCATCATTTCTGTTGTTAATTGTTCCTTTCTGTGTATCTGGGTCACCATCTAGTATCATTTCCCTTAAGCCTGAAGAATTTCCTTTAAAATTACATGTAGTACAGGATGCCTGGGAAATGAATTTTATGGTTTTGATTATCTAAAAATGTCTTTATTGCCTTCTTCCCCCTGCCCTTTTTTTTTTTTTTTTTTTTTTTGCTTATCAGGGCATTTACGTATAAAAAATTTACCAGTTTTATCTGTGCTTTTTGGCGAATATTGGTAATTATTTGTAGCCATGTAACTACCACACTGGTCAGCAGAGAAACACCACATGCAAAGAACCCTGTGCTAGGCTCCTCCACTGCTTTAAAGTCCTTTCCCCTGCTCCTTTTCCTCACCTCCTGCTTTCCCAGTCCTTCTCTCTGTCCCCTCCTCCCTCACACCCTCCTCTTTCCTTAGTTCACACAGCCCAGTCACTCCAGAATTGTGGCACTATAGAGAACACTTTCTTTTCCCTAGAAACTTTCTTTCTGTCCCTTTCTATCTAATCCCTGGCTCCTACCTTCACCCCTTGCCTTCACTCAACCACTGCTCTGCTTTCTGTCACTGCAGTAGTGGAATTTCATGGACATGCGATCATATGTGATGCAGTCCTTTGGTCTCTCACTCAGCATAACAATGTTTGAGATGATGTCATCCATTCATTTTTGTTGCTGAGCAGCTGCCCAGTATTGCTGGAATCCCAGTTTATTCACTGGTTTCTCTATTCTCCAGTTGATAGACATAGGGATTACTCCAGTTAGGGTGTGTTATTAATGAAGCCACTATAAATAACTGCTTACAAGTGTGGCCTTACATTTTTACTGCTTTTGGATAAATACATATTTGTGGAATTGCTGGGTCCTGTGGTAATGGATGGGTAGCCGTATAAGAAATTGCTGAACCCCTTTACAAATTGGCTGAAACATATTTTGCATTCCCACCAGCAATATCAGACATTTTTATTTTTTCCATGTTCTTCCCAGTATTTAGATTTATCATACGTATTTTTAACTGTACCTATTCTAGGTGATGTGTGATGGTTTCTCATTATGGTTTTAACTTTCGCTTCTTTGATAACTAGTATTGCCTCCTATCTCTTCATGCTCATCTCAGTGATTTATTACATGTATTTTATGAACTATTTTGCAAATTCAGTGATTAATTCCAGAGACTTTTTCAGAATTTCCTAGTGTTTCCTACATATGCAGCGAAGCTGGTGACGAGAAAAGACATTTATTTATTTATTTATTTCCTATCCATTGATGTTTTTCCTTTTAAAATTATGTTTGCTTGGTAGAGATGAGGTCTCACCATCAGGCTGGTCTCAGACTCCTGAGCTCAAGTGATTCTCCCACCTCAACCACCAGAAATGTAGTGATTACAGGCATGAAACAACATGCCCAGTACTTCTATTGGTCTTTTATTTCATTTTCTTGCCATGTTGCAGTGGTTAGGATGCCTGTCAGGTGTTTAAACAAGAATGATGAGAGCTCACATATTTGTTTACAAGGAACTTAAACAAATTTACAAGAAAAAAACAGCCCCATTAAAAAGTGGGCAAAGGATATGAACAGACACTTCTCAGAAGAAGACATTTATGTGGCCAAGAAACATATTTTAAAAAGCTCCACATCACTGATGGTTAGAGAAATGCAAAACAAACCACAATGAGATACCATCTCTCACCAGTCAGAATGGCAATTACTAAAAAGTCAAGAAGCAATAGATGCTGACAAGTCTACGGAGAAATAGGAACACTTACACTGCTGGTGGGAATATAGACTAGTTCTGTTGTGGAAGAATTTCACCTGACAAGAAACCCAAACGTCAGTCAGAGGGTCAGAGAACACAGTTTATTATGCCCGTGGACCCAGACGGGTTCGCACCCAAAGGTCTGGCCCTGGCCTGGAACAGCACACAGCTTTTATATGTTGGGTGCAGGGGGAGTAACTGAAGGTTTTAGGCAATGTGGCAGTTTCTCAAGGGACTTTCTAGTTAGCAAGCAGGAAGCGAGCATACAGAAGCAGATAGTGGTGGTTAGTTCGATAATTAGGAGATTTTTCACAAACTTTCCACTTCATTCCCCCTTTGATGCTGTTTTATGAACTATATGGAGCATCACCTTTATATTTCAGCTGAGTTTAGTGGCAGTTGGGCTGCTGTTTTCTTGACTACTGTGGCCTCAAAGCGCTGGAGTGCACTGACTAGGCAGGGGCTGAAGGTGAGGGCCAGGACAAGCATTAGTACAGGCCCTAAGACAGGCAGGACCCATTGAGTCCAAGTTCCAAGTCCTGGGGAGCCCCAGAGGCTTTCTGACTCAGTATGTAGCCTTTGAATAAGATTCCTCAATTCCTTGACGTTTCTCATGACAATTCCTGACTGATTTACATAGTAACAGCATTCTTCCTGCAAGAAGAGGCAGGTAACCCCTTCTTCAGCCATAAGTCCAAGGCCCTGTGGTTTTGCAGAACCATGGCTGCTAAGGAATTTAGCTGGTTTTGCAAGGACATTAGGGAGTTGGCCACGCTTTCCATGTCCTCATTGAGTTCCCAGGACAGTTTATGAAAGAAGTGGGCTGAAGTGCTGATGCCTCCTATTCCAGTGCCTTCCCCAGCTGCTATGCCAGTTCCTACCAGGAGGGGAAGCAATACAGCTCATTTGGACTGGTAGTGGGGATTTAGAGCCATCTCAGTATCTCGGTCTGTGGCAACTGAGGTTTCTGGGGATAAGAATGCTCGGTTACATACTCCAGTCCAATTTCTGTCTCAACAAGTATATGCCTGTCTGCCACATAGGAAGAACATACCCGGGGTGGGTGGAGCACACTAGACCTCCGTGTGGAAGAGGTTAACA